GAAGGAGTTTTTGCCTCTCTCTCAAGCAGTTCCTTAGAGGGCCTGTGGTGTCAGTGGTGCATCAGTGACTCTGACAAAGAAAACCTTGGCACCCTGCATCGTAGCTATGCAGGGATAGTAACTGGCACCTGGCTTCTGAGTGAGGTATCACCCTCAAGGAAACAGGCCAGAGAGTGGGGAGAGGGAGCTGGCCAGGTGTGACCCCCATCCTGGCCACCGGGAAGACAAGTTTAAGTTATTCTTCTGATGGCAACAGCAACATCTGTCTAGAAATCCAGCACGTATGAAGTTTCTCTAAGAAAATGGAAATGTATTAGCAATGCTCCAGCCTCTCATTACAGAGGGCCAAGTGGGAATGAACCCAGACAAGGCTTCTGAGGATAGTGAGGCTGGTTCTCACTAACACTCTGAATCACTAGATGCCAGGGATGGACAGACCTTCAGAAATCATCTGGCTCAACCAAACAACCCATTCTTCAGATGAGGAAAATCAAGCCCAGAAAAGGGAAGGCATCTGCTGAAAGTCACACAGCTAGCTGGTCAGACTCTTTGTTAACTAGCTAGACTTTGTATCTGGGGTGAGGGGCAGGTTTCTTTTTTCTGAAGGAGGGTAAAGTATTTACAGTAATGAGGAAGAGAGCCTGGCCATCTTCCAGCACAAAGATAGTGTTTGCTGGGGAGGCTCCTTTCCTCCTAGAATGGTGAAATATTGACATTTTCACCCTGGCTGTTCTGACTGTGAAAGGAAAAACCCCCAGGGAAAACTGGCCCTCCTGGGATGGTTGAAAGGAATGGAACCTCCTTTGGAGAACTGGGTTTAAGTGGCCTCCATCTGTCTCCTTCATATTGCCCTGCTCCTCCCCAGGGACCCAGTTCCAGCTTGCGTTGAGGAAACAGGCTTTTTTTTTTTCCCCCCTGGGGGGTGTGCCAAGGGTTTGCCTGGGTGCCCATTACTTGCTCTTAAGACATTAGTGAAGAGTTTAGTCTTCTGTCCCTTCTTTTCTGCAGCACATGCCAGCCCAGTGGCAGTTCAGTGTGTTTGTGTAGGCACAGGGTGTGTGGAGGGAGTCCCCACCTCCTTGAAGTGCCAGTCTTGCCCAGTCCTCCCTAGTTCCTCCCCTTTCCCCAACACCTGTTGCCAGTTCTGGTTCAGGTTCAACTCCTGGAGCCTCCAGGCCCCTCCCCCCTCCACCCATTAGAGTCAGGCTCGGGGCACCCTAGAGTTCCAGAGCCCTGTCTGCCCAGCTCTGCTGCCTCCCTCCCCTGCACGCTTTGTCAGACACTGCGCCCCACCGGCCGAGCTCCTGGCAGTCAGCCAAACTGGGCGACACAGGCCAGTGGGTCTGCGGTCACTTCCTGGGTCCAGATGTGGGGAGGAGAGGTTAGGGGAGCTTTTCTTGCGGGAACTCCGGCACCCTAGTAGGTCCGCAGGCACGGTGCTGCCCACGTTGCCCTTGAACCCACCAAGCCCACCCATCGTGTCCAGGCAACAGAGAAAGCGGGACAGAGGCTTGTTCCCTTCGCAGCCAGCCCACAGCCCCTGGGATCCCGGAGCAGTCTCTAGGCCAGGGCGCATGCAGCA